ATTCCGTGGAGCGGGCGCCGATAGGCGAAGCACTACTTGGACGAAAACCGGAAGGAATCCGTAACCAGCACGGACCATCCTAGTACACCATGTTCCTGAGGCTGGAAGTCATGATGAGCACGAAGCGACCACTCACGACCAAGAACAATGGTGGTACATGCGCGACACTCTTTACCTGGTAAACGTCATAGTACAATCAATCTCGAGGCTGCACCGATCACCAAACTACAATGGTTGTGGCCCGAGGATTGAGAAACTGGTTCGTCAATCTAGACAAATGTCAGCAATGGTAGTGGAGGGATGGTATGCATCATCATCATCATCATCATCATTATACATGTCAGCTAGAGATGGTAAAACACCTCCGCTATTGTACCGTAATACATAAAGGAAATACATACATACATACATACATACAATACATAAAGGAAAAATAAATACGACAGTTGAATGCCAGCTGAGCTACCAGCAACGGATAGGCATCGTTCCGGTAAGCTACTGGCCGGCTACTAGGCAAAAACAAAAATTTAATTACGTTTTACCCTACGAAATAAGATCGTAGATGGAGGGGGAGGCTAAAGGGATGGGGAGGGACAAAGAAACTCACAGCAGGAACGCCACTGAGGTCGGCTCCTTATCATGTCAGCAAGTGTATCCGGCCAAACTGTTCATCGTCTTTTGGACCCCAACCAGGGAGCCGTGAAGCTCCAACTGAGGCCAGCTCCGAAGTGAGGGCCTTCATTCCTCTGGACCAAGTCATCGCTTGGCCACCTCCCCTCTTCTTCCACCCACATCCCTGGTGAGCAAACAACGCACGTCGAGGGAGTCGGTGGGTTGGCATGCGCAACACGTGGCCCAGCCATCGGAGCCTGGTGAGTGAAATGACGGTGCTGAGCGGTTCATTCCCTTTTCCTAGGCCGTAAACAAGGCGTCGAACACGCTCGTTACTCACGCGGTGTTCCCACCAGATGTGAGCCAAACTGCGAAGGCACCGATGGTCGAACGTAAGTAGCCTCTTCATGTCCGCCGATCTTAGGGGCCAGGTTTCGCAACCGTACAGTAAGGTCGAACGTACCGCTGCATTGTACACTCTACCCTTCAGGGCGAGAGTAATGTCGCGCCGTCGCCATAGGTGGAGAAGGTTAGCAAAAGCACTTCGAGCTTTCGCTATGCGGTTCGTGATCTCGTCTTCGATCCCAAGGGCGCTGATACAACGTCCCAGGTAATTGAATTTCTGAACGACTTCTAGCTGATCCCCACCAAGGGTCAGCGTAGGAGGCGAACCCTGCCAATCCTGGAGGAACGCTTTGCACTTCGGTGGTGCAAAGCAAAGCCCGAAGCGACTGACAGCCAGTGCTAATCTGTCCAGCGCGGCTTGACACGTCTGGGAGCTGTCACAGATGAGGGCAATGTCGTCTGCATACTCTAAGTCAAGAAGTCGTTCTCCTGGGAGTAGCTCCATACCTTCCAAGTCATGTCCCGTAAATGCAATCTCCATGACTTCGTCAATAGCGAAGTTGAATAGGAAAGGTGACAGCGGGCATCCTTCTCTCACACCGTTTGAGATATTGAAGGGTGGCGACAGCCTGCTGTAAGCCCTTACTCTGCCCGTGCTACGCGCATATAATGCTTGGATAATATTTACATATTTCTCGGGCACACCTATCCTGAGTCGACAATTCCAAAGGGCACATCGATCAACCGAATCGAAGGCACCTTTGATGTCGAGGAACACGACTACGGTGGGCCGCCAATATGTGTGACGGTGCTCCAACAACTGACGCAAGGTGAAGATGTGGTCGATGCAGCCACGACCCCGACGAAACCCGGCTTGCTCCTCACGAATCTGGCTTTCACGAGCGCCAGTCAGTCTGTGGAGAATTATGGACGCGAGTAATTTGGAGGCGATGGAGATCAGACTGATTCCTCTATGGTTGCCGCATTCCGAGCGCGAGCCGCCTTTGAAGATGGGAACAATAACGGAGCGGCTCCAGTCGGTTGGGACAGTCTCCTGCTCCCACAGTTTCACTAGTAATTCATGCAAAGCATCAACAAGAGCAGATCCTCCAAACTTGAAGAGGGCTGGAGGAAGATCATCTGGTCCCGCGGCTTTGTTCAACTTCAACAGTCCGATCTCACGTTCGACTTCTGAGTGAGAGGGTGGATCCAAAGGGACAGCCCACGGAGCGGGGCGATCAGTGACCGGCGAATCGAACAATTCTTGCCGATTAAATTGCTTTTCAAAATGCTCAGCCCAACGCTCCAGACGTTTTGACAAATTGTGGATAGGCTGTCCACTCTCGTCACGGGCCGCAGCAGTCTTCCTTCCGAGATCCGGATCAAAGCAGCATCTAGTAAACGAACACACGAGAGCAGCCACTTAGACAGACCACTTGCTGACAACAGTTGGGATAACTTAACTCAACTAGCCAACCAAACTGGCAAACACACCTCCATACATTATATACAAAGAGAGAAGCAAAGAGGTAATGGTTGGATCCATGAATCGGACACAGATGAGTTCGTCATCTCCCCACCCCACCGAATAAACTAATAGTCACCGACCTTTTACCGGTCGGCACAACATTTTATCCAACACACCCATCCCACGATTCATTGCTAAAAGCAGAGCAACTTTCCTGCATGTACACCAATGCACAAGGTCTCGTGAACAAGCTTGCCGAACTGCGGCTACGTCAAGCGTCACATGCCTGGGACCTCATACTTCTTACGGAAACCTGGTTGCACTCAGAAATTACCGATGCCGAAGTTGCGATACATGGTATGTCCCTTCTCCGAAACGACCGGCCTCGTAAAGGCGGTGGCGGGGGGGGGGGTAATGTTATACTACCGCAACGACCTGCAGTGCGAACCGGTGGCCCATCCTGAAATGCTGATCATAGACTCACTCTGGTGCAGTCTGCAACTGAGACGCAACGACAATTGCCTTTTGACCGTTGTATATGATCCCCAAATCTCCACCCCAGAAATGGACTCCTGCCTGGCATTATCCTAGGGAAGAGTCCTGCGAGGACAATACAGTCATGTTCTCATTTCTGGTGACTTCAATCTTCATGATTTGGACAATTCGGCATCCCCCAACAAGCAATCGAAGGCCGACCTGCAAGAGTATATTGCAAGTATACTGCTCTTCAGTTATGTCAGTTCACCCACCCGATCCCGAGCCGGAAATAAACCATCTTCGCTTGATTTAGTGCTCACGAACGAAGAGCTCATGGTTGAGAAACCAAGGCTGGAGAGCCCTGTGGGGTGGAGCGACTAAGTAAACATAATTTCCGACTTCCGGTGTTATGCAGAGTTTCCACAAGAACATACTACCTTGTTTCGAACAATCATCCACTGCGACATACTGGCAGAACTTGTGAGAGATGTCAGTTGGGAGTTTCCGGATAACTGTTGTACTAACAGTGGTTTGTTGGATTTTACTGGCAAGTTCCGTGATCTGAGTAAATCTGCATCGGTCAACAAGCCCCTTTGTTCTGCAAGGGCACAATCATTCTTTCGGAGTAGAACCCGAAAACACATGACACTAAGAGACACCGCGTGGCATGTGTATATAGGGAACTCTACTCCTGACTGCGCTTCTGAATGGTCAAAGGTTAATCTACTTCCGTTTAACAGGGACAAGTGCAAGACATTACTTGCACGCCTCAAGCGCATTTGCGCATAAATGCTTGGAGACCACATGCTGAAAACTGCCTCACGGGGGCGTGATCTTGGGGTGGTGATGTAAGACGATCACGGCTGTTCGGCGCAATCCTTGAAGGCGCCCAAAACCGCTAACCAACACAACCTTCTATGGAGGACCTTCGGGCGGTTCGACCCTCCTCCATCTTCCCCCAAATGCTCAATGCGTATGTGAGGCCCCACTTGGAGTACGCGATGAAGGCTGCGCAACCCTGGTTCAAACGCGATCTGGTTGCACTGGAGACCGCACAGCGAAGGGCAACCAAGAATGTGAAGGGAGTGCTCCACCTGCCGTACCAACTGCGACTGAAATCTTTAGGGGTGTACAGCGGATGCGCACAAGAGAACACTGAAATTGTGAGGATAGCCTTGATAACATCAAATCTGCAAAGCGCCCTTGCTGTCAAACGACAAACGAGACGAGCGGCACCCCAAATCTTGCAATTCAGATAACGAAGCGTGGAGGTGGGAGTACGAGAATCCTTATCCGACGCAATTGTGTTGGAATGCGGTGTATCCCAAAGCTCGGTACTAGGTCCTCGTCTATTCTTGGTTTTCATAAACTTTCGTATGCTTCACGGATGATATCAAGTTGTTGCGAGCGGTCAGGAAAGTAGACCACCACGAAGGGGTCCAGCTTGATCTCAACATGATTTCGGACTGGTCAGCTCAAAATACCCTAACGTACAATGTGGGAAAATGTCGCACTGTTCACTTACGCCATAGGCATGACTACGTATATTGGCTTGGGTCACACATATTGCAAACCACTTCTCAGAAACGCGACCTAGGTGTGCTCATCCAAAGTGACTTTAATTGTTCAAAAACAGTTGGAGGCAACTGCGATAATAAGCAACCAGCACGTTGGTCTGCTGCGGAACATTTTCGGAAGTTTTGGTACATCCATCTCTTACGTGCACCACTTCGTTGAATACGCCACCCAAGCTTAATAACCTTGATTGAATTGCGACCTGGAGGTGGTAGATACACCCCAACGCATGGCTACAAGGTGTCACGGTAATCTGTCTTACCAGTAAAGGCTGAAAACAATGGGAGTTTTCAGTGGACGCTACAGAAGGCTGCGCGGCGATCTCATATTAGTGCATCAAATACTGAGTGACCCAAACCACGTATACCGTCATTTGCTTAAACTGAGCCATAACACCAAGCTCAGAGGTAACTGTCTGAAATTGAATGAACAGTATGGCCGTCTGGAATGTCAGCGGAAGTATTTTTCTCTTCGGGCTTGCCAACCCTAGAAATCTCTCCCAAACAGGTGTGTCCCAACCCAACTTGGATATTTTCAAAAAAGGATTGCATATTGCCCTTGGACCCTATTACTTCGTAAACTAAGCTGTGCTACTTTGGAATATATAAATCATGCCTTCAAACCGGTTTATGTCACACAGATTAAGGAGGCGGTACAGAAGTGAGTATGCTTGTTTTGAATTTTCTCACGGAGTACATCAGCTGTAACTGCCGCCATGTGATCTTGTCGTGTGTATTCAATTCTCATTGACACTTCTGTGATTCAGCGGCGCGTCTGCTCAGTAGACGCGCAAACAGACAACTCACATATCTTTTGACACCGTAGTTTTACCTCTACCATCCTGCGGCAATTGTCAAGCAAATGCTTTTTCACTCGTGATAAACCACTGTTCATTGTATCAATCAACACTTCCTCAAGCATATACTGCGAAAGTACACGAACAGATAAAGCAGTTCAAATGTCGGGGTCAATGAAACCGGATGAAGTCATTAACACAGGGTAGAATGCACAGACGATTGGGTAGCAACGGAAGATGAGCCTACTTGCATCACGGTTAATGGGAAGGAAAGTAACAAGAAATGAGTGAAATGTGTCATGGATTTTTCACCGGAATAAGAAAGAACCGACATCGAGGGTACAAATCACAGCACATCACCACGTGGCACAGCCTCGGTAACCGGTGTCTTTAGCCCATTTGACACAGAGGAGGGCAAACAAGACAGCCAAACATTGATCGTCTGGACGGAATTTTCCAAAGCGCGTCGCTCAGTCGTCCGACCCACAATCGAGCCCCACACCAATGCAAATAAAGTGGCTCCGATTATGACAAAAGTGAACATCCCCACGACGTTAGTGGCCAAATTGGAGTGTGATAAGCACGTGGGAAGCATCAGCGCTAGCAACGTCATCAGGAGGGAGATGGATAGGTGAAATTGCCGCATCTTTCGGCAGATGCGCAACCCACGAACGATACGCTCACGCATCTCGAGTAGCAACGGCTCCAGTTTGGAAGGGTCCGCGGTATTCGATATGGCTGGGTGGAGTTCAAAATGGTGGGGAAACAGTTAGCATTGTTGAAATGGAAAATGTAATGAAATACAGAAGTGTTGGGCAACACTTCGGATTAACAATGAGTCAAAAAAGCCAACACCGCGCGCAAAATGTGCGCACCTGTGAGGGTGAAAATTACAGTCCGAATGTTACGTAGGACAGGAATCCAACATTGTGCAAGATCTGATGCTATAAATATGACAAGTTGGCTGTACTGGAAACCGGGTGACTGCGGATAGCCGTGCAAGCAATCGGTTCGAGGTCAAACCATCACAACTTACCGTGAAACCAACTTTGATCACCGATTCAACAATTACCTGCGACATATATATATATATATATATATATATCGATATCATTATTCGTGCCTATCGACATCTTCGCATTAGAAAATCAATTTGCTATTTTAACATAGAAACATGTACCATAGCCACATCCCACACCTTGGATCACATGAGTCTGCACACATACTTTGTCATGAGTATACTTGGTCAAACCGATTCTCGCATATCAGCTTTCATGAAACTGATCATGGCATCCTTGGTACGCCGAGTGTAAAATCGAGGATATACATTTATCTATGCATTTGTTGCAGCTAATTGGTTTGTGTGTCTGTACACACACTCTAACATTAACCTAGCAATTCCTTTTACCAGGGAAACTTGTAATGGATAAAAAATACATCAGTACTCCTCTCTAGCGGATGTACGAATGTCTCGATTTAGAAATGCATGTCAATAATAGGGTGGGAATGCCATTACGCTTGTCGAAGTAGCAACATAATTAGGTTCACCAGGAACATCATATCGTAGCACATAAACAGCAAATGATGAATAGCGCGAGAATTAAATTTATCACAACTTTGGTACCGGTTGATAATGAAGTAAGCACGTTTGGAAAAATCAATCGTGGCCAGCTACGTACATCTCAGAGTAGGCGCGAAAATGCAGAACAAATATGACTTGAAAATATCGATGGCTCGGATAATGCAAGCAAACCTTTCATCGTGCATTCTCCTTAGTTCGGCATCGAAATGTGACCTACTGAGGTTCAACAGCGAGGAAAACAAACAAATATGCTGCTGAAACATCAATTTGAAGCACTTGAACCACGCAGCTGTTTGAGTGAGAGAGGTAAGCAAAGAGGGCGCTGACCGGTTTAGTGAAACTTAAGCGGTTCGTACATTGTTAAGCAAGCCACTTCATGGTTCCGCAGTAGACGCTTACTGCGGGGCAAGCGGTTATCGTAACGTTGAAGTGATTGATAAAATGCACTAGTGTGACAACGAAGTAGGGATACCATAAATGTTGGTGTACCATGGACGACGGTGCCACACACACACACCGTCTGAACAGTGGTGGAAAGTAGGTATTCATGCGCTAAGTAGGCGATTATGCATGCCCCCTAATCTCACAGGAGGATGAATTCGATGAAGAGAATGACGATTTCAATAGATTTCGGCTGTAAACCTAGGAGCAGCCTTCGTTGAAATAACCAAGTGCCCAGTGTCGAACCGACAGACAAAAGAAACTCACTGAAAACAGACGCTCATAGTAGCAGCAATCTAATTGTGAGTTACTGAGCGTTGCTCCAGTTAGACGGGCTTCAACCCGAAATGTGGACTCTGACCAAATAGCCGTCTGAGGATTAACAGGTATAACAAAACTGAGAATCAAATATAAGCCAACGTTTGGGTTTTTGACCATCCGTAATCAATAAGCAGAGCGTACGAAGACAATACTGCATATCAACTTGATCTATGTGTTCCCGTAGTGTTTGGGTCCCAGTATATGCTCCGCAACCTTATCTGCTTGCCACATACTACAGCAGAAGGAATAACCTACACACGCTCTGTCAGATGCCCTGTTTAACACAATGTATAGATCAGCAGAAATAACAAAGTATGGCGTACTAAAAGGACGAAACCGTTTGCAAATTAACCCGTGGCAGATTTACATGTCCGAAAAAGTTCTATAATGACATGAAGACTAGTTGTAGTCAAACGTTGGTAGCACATGCGAATCCTGCCAGAACGAAGTGGCCACGATGGTGATAGTGGCTGAGTCGATCGTGAGCAAGCATGCTTCGCACAGATGAGATAAGCTGAAGGTTGCGTCTGCTTGTTCTCCCCGCAGTTCATGCTTCATGACGATTTCATCCTAAATGGAAGATTAGGATGGCACTGACACTGTAACCAGAACGTATCCAAAGAGGAAGGAACCGTGCAAGACTGACCTAGAGAAAACACTTCATACGTAATTGGTAACCTGGACGATTAAGATTTTGTGCTGAAAGTGTACGATAACTGGAAACACAAAATCACGGGGAGCGAGTTGTGGAACCGGTTGTAGGACACTTGTGCAAGGTGTAAGATCAGTCCCAAACACACACACACGCAGTGGCTTACCTGCTCTGTCAGATGCGTCCGGCTTGGTAAGTGAGAAAGAGGCTCCGACGCCTTCGTGATCCGAATAGTGTAGGCCTGACGGATCATCGGGTACCGCCTGAAGATCTAGCCAGCTGGAGTGGCAGGTGATCTCAGCAGGAGCTGCGGAGAACATGAGTGAAATAACTGATGCAAACTGTTCAAGGTCACAACAGATTTCGTGCACAAGAGCTAGGTGGCCTGGTAGCGCAAGAGCTGATGTATTTGAATATCTGGGAACGGATCGCTGTGAAACCCAGCGATATATATATATATATATATATATATATGGAGAGTAAATGAATCAATGAGTCAATTGTTCGCGATTCAGACAATATAGTATAAGTGGTGGCTTCGAAACATATTCCACGGAAGAGTTAAGAAGGAACAAATGTAGCGGCTAACGTTCAGTTTCGTTAGAAAATGATCCGTGCGTAGGGTTCTCCTCGGCTATGTCAGGAGATGCGAGGTGTCCGTTCCAACTTACGCCGCAGACTATCAGAGCAGCTTCGTAGATGAGTGTCCGCAATCGATCGTATGGGGCGACAGTTTTGTCAGTGATGAGCCGACAGTGCTGGAATCGTTCACTAACTCCAGCAACTTGCTCAGTTATTTGAGAGCCACATGACTCGCCTCAGTGGTTTATTGAGATGGCGAGCAGCACACCGTGTGCACCAATGGGCATATGTATCGCATAGGATGTGGTGAAGCCATGGTGGAACTTGATTCCGACAAATTGAGAAGCTATTTGAAGTTTCGCTGCCGATGTTGTGGAGCAATGGGAGCAGTTGGGAAGAAGTGTTGTCAACACCGACTCAGATTTGCATGACATCTACCCGTAGGTAGTCTGACGTTACTGGAAAGTTGTGGACGTCTCACTCTCAATATCTATTCAGGGAATTTAGGCTACACACCAGATTCGCAATCTCACGCTCTCTGATTAATTCTCACCTCGCCGATCATCATGATTGTGCTGCACAAAAGCGCCAGTACAGATTACTTAGGAATCGCTGTCGTGGATGATGGTGATGGTAATGCCGGTACCCCAAAACAGCCCCCATATGGGAACCACGCTCCGGGTCTGATCATGATCGGACCAGTACTCCTCCTTTGGTCGGCATCGAAATGTGACCTACTGAGGTTCAGCAGCGTGGAAAACAAACAAATATGCTGCAGCAACATCAATGCGAAGCACTTGAACCACGCAGCTGTTTGAGTGAGAGAGGTAAGCAAAGAGGGCACTGATCGGTTTAGTGGAACTTAAGCGGTCCGCATGTTGTCAAGCAAGCCACTTCATGGTTCCGCAGTAGACGCTTACTGGGGCAAGCGGTTATCGTAATGCTGAAGTGATTGACGAAATGCACCTTTCTTTCAATATCCACCAGGGTTAGTGTACCAGCGTGACAACGAAGTACGGATACAGTAAAAGTTGGTGTACTATGGACGACGTTGACACACATACACACACACCGTCTGAACAGTGGTGGAAAGTAGGTATTCATGTGTTAAGAAGATGATTAAGCGTCCCCCCTAATCTTACAGAAGGATGCATTCGACGAAGGGAATGAATATACCATCCGTAATCAATAAATAGAGTGTACGAAGACAATACTGCATATCAACTTGATCTATGTGTTCCCGTAGTGTTTGGGTCCAAGTATATGCTCCGCAACCTTATCTGCTTGTCACATACTACAGCAGAAGGAATAACCTACACACGCTCTGTCAGTTGCTCTGTTTAACACAATGTATAGAACAGCCGAAATAAGACAGCATGGTGTACTAAAAGGACGAAACCGTTTGCAAATTAACCCGTGGCAGATTTACATGTCCGAAAAAGTTCTATAATGACATGAAGACTAGTTGTAGTCAAACGTTGGTAGCATATGCGAATCCTGCCAGAACAAAGTGGGCACGATGGTGATAGTGGCTGAGTCGATCGTGATCAAGCATGCTTCGCACTGATGAGATAAGCTGAAGATTGCGTCTACTTGTTCTCACCGCAGCTCAGGATTCATGATGATTTCCTCCTAAATGGAAGATTAGGATGGCACTGACACTGTAACCAGAACGTATCCAAAGAGGAAGGAACCGTGCAAGACTGACCTAGAGAAAACACTTCATACGTAATTGGTAATCTGGGTAATAAAGACGTTGTGCTGAAAGTGTACGATAACTGCAAGCACAAAATCACGGGGAGCGAGTTGTGGAACCAGTTGTAGGACACTAGTGCAAGGTGTAAGATCGGTCCCACACACACACACACACACACGCAGTGGCTTACCTGTTCTGTCAGATGCGACCGGCTGGGTAAGTGAGAAAGAGGCTCCGACACCTTCGTGATCCGTATAGTGCAGACCTGACGGATCATCGGGTACCGCCTGAAGATCTAGCCAGCTGGAGTGGCAGGTGATCTCAGCAGGAGCTGGTGAGAACAAGAGTGAAATAACTGATGCAAACTGTTCAAGGTCACAACAGATTTCGTGCACAAGAGCTAGGTGGCCTGGTAGCGCAAGAGCTGATGTATTTGAATATCTGGGAACGGATCGCTGTGAAACCCAGCGATATATATATATATATATATATATATATATATGCATGGAGAGTAAATGAATCAACGAAAACGATGAAAACCAGATGGGGACACAGCTCTACCGAATAGGAAACAGAACATGTTTGTTTGTTTGTTTAGATGGCTGTTCCAGTCCAACCGGGTACATTCATACGGTGAAACACTGTAACGACCTCTATGTAATAACATATAAATAACAGCCGATAAAAAGAGCCATGGTCATATGCCGCTTCAGCGCAGCCAACAGTGGAGATCAGGATTTTTTAAGCCAGTAACAAATTCAGAGTTGCTCAGTGTTACCGTCGCCACGCAACTATAGGTCTCCGCAACAGCTGACTAACAACGTCAGGTTGCCGCGGCGGCTTCCGTGGGAGGAGTTGATATCCGTTCAGGGTGTTCCGTTACATTCGACCTGTAGCAACATGTCACAGTAGATATCATCTTGGATTTGAATAGAAGTTCAGTGGCTAAACAGTGGTCACAATTCCTGATTCGCTGTTTATTATTTACTTAACACTTAACCAATAAACATATGGCAGCGTGCCACAACAGGAGTACCAGAAACAATAAGAAGGAAGAGTCAGGAGAAGGGATGCGAAGATCCATGTGTTGTGTGGGCATTGAGCTTCCCGATTGCCCCGACCGAGGAAGGTGTCGACTTAAGGGACCCCACCCCGAGCCTTTGGTCATAAAGACCTGACCCGCAAGGCAGCGGGGCGATAAACGAAGACCGTTGACAGCCACGTGGCTCATTCGCCTTCTTTGTGTTCGGTTGCAGTCCACAGAGAAGCCGGTGGCTAGCAAGGTTGTTCATCCGCCCTCCGTTAAATACTCACCTCCAGTTACAGAAGTGAGTGGTCAGTGACCATACAGCCTGTCACATTGGCTTTGACACAGCGCCGTAAGAGTTCATGTGGTATTTGAGGGAGAACCAGATGAGCAGCCCAGAACTCCCCACGTTCTGAGACGCTGCCGCTGATTGTCCGCGACTGTTTATTCATCTCGCCTGCAAAGCAGACGAGACTTATTCGCAGTTACCTCCACAAGGAAGGCATTCCCCAATCCGCAACCTGGGGACGCGCCCGATAGCGTACAGCTCCGCGACAGTTTGATTGAGGTCAGATGCACTGTATCGTATTACGGGGTGCGGGGTGTATGTGGGGGGGGGGGAGGGACGAATAATTTCGTCCGGCGTACAGTCACTCGGACGGAGTGATGATATTTTCCACTTATCGTGGTCAGCTCCACCTGTGAAAGGAGCATGAAAGGTGGATGGGAAAAAGTAAAATCATACGCACACAGTTGCGCGCAAATTGTACTCATGCGATTGTTCCGGATGCAGCAACGGGAAATCAGTGGATGGCCCGAGAGAAGAAGCTGCTTAGTTGTAATATTCGCAATTGTTCATATTGGACAAAAGCAACCAGGGATTCACCTGATATGTGAAAGGAAGGAATACAATTTGGTAATCAGACGGCACTGCCTGGTAGTCGCCGAAGGGACATAGTTTTGTAATGTCAGTACAAATAATGAGGTTGCAAACTGGATACAGTGCGGATAAGAGTCGAATAACGGTAATGTAGTGTGTAAAAATCGAGACTGAAAGGAATGCTAATCAGACTCAAGAACGCACCTGCCAAACAATGGAAGATGATTCCAGCTGAATTGCGCGAGCCTCTCGTAATGCGTAGCATACTGTATCAAGTGGATCAGGTATATACAGAAAAGACGCTCAGTACTGTAAGTAGGAAGGAATTGCACAACTAAGAAATGCAGCCTACATGAACCGAATTTCTGATGGAATGGACCATTCCCGATTCGATAAAAAATTTAGCCCAGACGCTCTCCATTGCCATAGAATCGTGTCCAAACGTCATTTCGGTACGGGTTATCCGCGCGATCACAAGTACAACCCTCGATTTACAATTTACCTACTGGAATACGTTGTGAGTTGAACGACACCTAGGGGTCGGGGAAGACGAACAGCATGCGGTGATAGATTGTACTGAAGGGGACCGGCAAGTGAGGTGAAATCGAGTTTTGTGAATAAGCTAAGGCGCAAACAAGGCCACGTGCCTTTTCTGTTTTATTGACTAATCAACGAATACCTACAACAAGATTATGGATTATTGATGAAGCATTTTCCAGAGAGGAGGGTAGGTTCAAACACCAAGCATACAAGCAATCGATATTAGACGTCAGGTAACTAACAGTCGCCCAATGAAACACCAAAAGTGATTTCACGAACGTGCTGGTCAAGGCCTGGAAAATAGTGGTTGCCTATGACGTACAGCCGCTCAAGCATTCCAGCATTTGGCCATCGACCCTACACTTCATCGACCTTAACTTTAGAAGTTCAGCATGCAATTCATAGAAATGAATAGGGATACGCACTACTGAGGATAAAGCATTTGCCGCCAACCTCGGTGATTTTGTTTCACTACAAGTTAACTAAAGAAAATGGACAAACTAGCGTTTGCGATAGACTCCTCTGTGGTTACAACATTCGCCGATGACCTTCGTTAGTTCCGAAAACCAAGGCATATTAGTACAAGTAGGGGGACGAGAGTTATTACATAAGAAAGCAGTGGCTATAGATGATCACACAGTAAGTTCGTTTCGACAAGCTGAAGCGCACAGCACCTTGTGAAACTTGGTGAATGCCGACACGATGACTCGCCTTGTGTTTGGCTCGAGACTTTACAAGACATGACTCGCAGTAGACACCAGTGGCGCGTCTGCTGCCGTCTCCTAATCGGATTGCCTGTCTAAACTGGGTTCGGTGCTGAGTTATCTGCGGGGTTATGGCTGATTATGACGCGTGGCAGTGAAGGCCGCAAGGAAGCTGTCTCGCCGATGCCGCCTTATCTTTGCACGATCGTCAGCTGTTCGTGACAGTATGTTGTCTACACAAGGTGTAGGCGCCTGGACCCTGAATGTTTGCTTAGGGCATTAAGGTTTTCAGATAAGTCCCCCTCCTCTCCCTCTTCTTATTCTTTAGTTCATAGATCATCATGATTGTATGGCAGCGAAGCATCAGTTCAAATGGCTGACGTGCTGCTGTTGTTGATTTGATTGTTGTTGACACGATGGCCAGTGCTTCCTTCTCAATCTGACCATAATTCTCCTCAGTTGGCGTCAGTGTGCGTAAACGTGTAAAAACGCTTTTTCGGAACCATTTGGGAGAGAACGGCTCCATTCCAGTAGGTATAAGCGTTAACAGCGACAAAAATCAGCAAACTTGGGGCGTAATGTGTCAGTATCAGGTCGGAACTCAGCATGGATTTCAGAGGAGTGAAGGGCTTCTCGCATGCGGTGACAAGTGCCATGGAACATACTCCTGCAACAACCGATTGAGCGGGGCTCGGACCTCGTATAGCAATGACAGTAAAGCACTGTCGTAGCTTATGAGACCTAGGAAGGACCTCAATTTCGACACATCCACTAGAGTTGGCCCCTTCAGAATGGCTCGGACATTATCAGAATCAGGATGGCGGCCACTGGAAGTTAACTCACAAAGGAGTAAAGTAGAGTTGGGGAAGAGGATAGCAAATCGCGTTCGAAACTATTAGGCACCACATCAGCACTGTGCCTGTACTCGGGTATTACGATCGAGCGCAGTCTGTGGAGGTGCAGTGTGATAGCAGCCAAGACGGAATAGGTGCTGTTATCTTACAGAATGGAAGATCATTGGATTTGCGCCGTCGAGCACTCACCGTGACCGAGCAGCGCTATGCGCAAATTGTGTGCTTGCGGTAGTCTATGCCATGGAGCGTTTCAACGAGTATACTTTCGGAAGAAAGACAAAGTTGTATACCGACCACAAACCGCTTGTGTCAATAATCAGGAAAACGCTGCACGTTATTCCTCGTCGCCTTCAGCTTTTGCTTAACCAGCTTCAAAAGTACGAAGCGGATATTGTGTATACGCCTGGTCCACAGCAGTTCATCTGCCGGTACCAGAGCATAATTCGAATAGGTCGAAGCAGTAAAAATAGTACAACACCTGATAGTGACAGAAGATCGACTAAAGGAAAAAAGGGCACCACACAGAGGAAGATGCAACGATTTCAGCTTTGCGATATGTTATTCCAAATGGATGGCCAGAGAAAAAGAAGAAGCTGCCGAAAGAATTAATACCTTACTTCAATTTTCGGGACCAACCCTCTGCTTTTGATGGTTTGCCGTTCAACGGAAGCTGTATACTGATTCCGTCATCGTTCCGAGGAGAAATGCCGAAATGCGTCCATCACGCTCAACTTGATGCCAACTATACCATTAAACCCCCCCCCCCCCGCCACCGCCTTTACGAGGCCGGTCGTTTCGGAGAAGGGACATACCATGTATCGCAACTTCGGCATCGGTAATTTCTGAGTGCAACCAGGTTTCCGTAAGAAGTATGAGGTCCCAGGCATGTGACGCTTGACGTAGCCGCAGTTCGGCAAGCTTGTTCACGAGACCTTGTGCATTGGTGTACATGCAGGAAAGTTTCTCTGCTTTTAGCAAGGAATCGTGGGATGGGTGTGTTGGATAAAATGTTGTGCCGACCGGTAAAAGGTCGGTGACTATTAGTTTATTCGGTGGGGAGGGGAGATGACGAGCTCATCTGTGTCCGATTCATGGAACCCACCATTACCTCTTTGCTTCTCTCTTTGTATATAATGTATGGAGGTGTGTTTGCCAGTTTGGTTGGCTAGTTGAGTTAAGTTATCCCAACTGTTGTCAGCAAGTGGTCTGTCTAAGTGGCTGCTCGCGTGTGTTCGCTTACTAGATGCTGCTTTGATCCGGATCTCGGAAGGAAGACTGCTGCGGCCCGCATACCATCCTTCCACTACCATTGCCGACATTTGTCTA